GTGTCCCCACTGCATCCCAAAGTGTCCCCATCGGGTCCCAAACTGCCCCTGCTGCGCACCCCGAAGCATCCTCTTGTCCCCCCCAGGTATCCCCTCATGTCTCCAGACCCCCCTCCCTCTCTCTGTCCTGTCCCCATTGTATCCCCTTGTGTCCCAAAGTGTCCCCGCTGCACCTTTGAAGCATCCTCTTGTGCCCAGTGTCCCCACTGCATCCCAAAGGGTCTCTGTCACGACCTCTCGGGGCCTCTTGTGTCCCCGTGTCCCCACTACATCCCAAAGTAACCCCACCACACCCCAAAGTCCCTTGATGTGTCCCCAAGTGTCCCTGCTGCATCCCAAAAGTGTCCTCTCTATATCCCAGCCATCCCCACCGTGTCCCAGACCCCTGCCATATGCTGACCTGACCCTGCTGTGTCCCAAAGTGTCACCACTGTGTCCCAAAACATCCTCCTCATGTCCCTGCCGTGCCCTTTAGTGTCCCCATTGTGTCCCAAATAATTTCATTTGCGTCCCTTACTGTCCCTTTTGTGTTCCGTACTGTCCTACTTGTGTCCCAAATCGTCTCAATCATGACCCAAAGTGTCCCCACCCCAGAGGGGTGACTCTGGGTGACGGGAGCTCATGTCACCCGCTCCCCACCACGTCGCTCTCAGCATCCGTCCCCACGGCCTGTGGTGACACTTGTGATGACATGGGGTTTGCCCAGGAAAGGTGTCCCAAAGCACAGGGGACATGGTCACCACAGTGGTCAGCTGTCCCACCGCTCTGGGGCTGCTGAGGTCACCTTGTCCTCGTGGGGCACAAAGGGCACATCTTGTCCCCAAGGGTCACCTGTGTCCCTGGGGATGTCCCCGTTCTCTGCCAGCGACACCTTGTCCTCGCGGCTGAACGGGCTCTTTATTCAGGAACATGGCGGCGGGCTCCGGCCGCGGCACAGCCCGGCTCCTCCCTGTCCTTCCTGCCAGCGGCACCGTCCCCGCAGGCACTGCCTGTCCTCCGTCCTCTCATCCCGGGGTCTGTGCCACTGGCCTTGGCCAGCTGGGGACCGCAGGGCTCCATTGTCCCCTCTTGACCGATGGGGACCCCCCGAAACCCCACCCACCCCCTGGGGCTCAACCTCCGTGGATCCGGCCCCAGCCGGAGCGGGTGGCAGAGCAGGACGGGGTGCTTGGGGTGCCCTCAGCTCCCGCACCCATCCCTCGAGCCAGGCCACTGTGCCGCCCTTCATCGAGCCCGCGATTGCCACCACCCATCGTCCAAGGTGACACACGGCCAAGTCCTTCCCTCGAGACGCTGCTCCTTCATATCCCCACTGCTGGGCTTGTCCCCATGTCTGTCCCTGGGGGGTTTTAGCCGTCGGGGAAGATGTAGCTGTACTGGTTGAGGATGTGCTCCACCACCTGGTTCTGGAAGACCATGTGCATGGCCATGTTCCCCTCCTCGCTCGCTGGCCGCAGCAGCGTGGGGCCAAAGACGATGGCGATGCTCTGCACTGACATGCGGTTCTCCTCCTTGTACTCGATAACCCTGCGGGAACGAGGGATGGTGTCACCCGGCATGTCCCCAAACCCAAGTCCTGTCCCCCCTTCTCACTACCAGGTTGGTTTTGGGGGGAGTGAGACGGGTGTCACCTGCAGAGGTGGCGGAACAGGACCTTCATGGTGTCATGGTGGGCAGGCGGGAGGGAGAACACCAGGTCACGGATGCACCGGCCACGCCTGGTCGGGTCCTGCATCTCTGCAAAGGGAGGGAAGACACAGTGGGGTGCTGGATCCATCAGCTGGAGCATCCGTCCCCGTCCCTGTCCCCATCCCTACCCCATCCCCATCCCATCCCCATCCCCATCCCATCCCTGTCCCCAGGCCTCACTGATGGCAGCAATGAACTTGTCGAAGTGGCTGAAGGGGACAAGTGGCTCCGGCAGCTCCCGGAAGAAAAGCTTCAGCGCCCCGGTGACAACGTGGATGTCCTCCCAGCGCCCGTCATCCAGGTCCAGGTGCTCGTCTGCAGGGCCAGGACAGCACCTCAGGCATCCCAGGGATGGGGCAGGGTCCCTGTCCCCTCCCCTCCCCTCCCTGGCTGAAGCCCCTTCGCCCTGTCCTTGGAGAGGGTTTATAACCCCTTTGCCCCCCCTTTGTCGCCGTGGGTGACCTTACCGTGTTCCACTTTGTAGCGCAGTTTCTGGACGGTGGCCAGGTTGCCGCTGACCCGGTACAGCCCGTCGATGTCCAGGCCTGGCAGAGGATGGTGGTGGAGATAGGGGGGAAAATTGTTGGTTAACCTCAGCCCGCCCTGGGATGTGACACCAGCCACCAGAGAGGGAGCTCTGGGTACCCACGTGTCCCCACCATCCCCTGGAAGGTGCCCACAGCCAGGTGGCAGACGGTGACAGTGACCGGTATGGTCATGCCTGTGTTTGCAGAGTCAGCACTGGGATTCCAGAGACAACCCAACCACCACACTTCGGCTTTACCCAGAGCTGTCCCCATCCCCGTGCTGCCCGTGTTGTCCCTGTCCCCAGGCCCCGGGGCAGTACCTCTCCTCTCCACGGTCTGGATGCACTGCAGGACAAAGCGCGGCACCGTCCCCCGCTCACGCTCGCACAACGCTTGAAGGGAGCAGCCGAAAACCTGATCTGGAAAAAACAACGGGGACTTGATCACGACTGGCTGGCACCAAAAGGATGCACAGCAGCAGGGCAGGGGTGGGGGACAGGGTTGGGGACATCGCAGAGGGTCCCGTTCCCATGTGGGTGGAGGTAATGGGACATGCCCCAGCCCATCACTGTGATGTTGGGTTGGGTTTGGGCTTGGTCCCCCAGCCCTCTGTCCCAGCTCCCTCCTTGGATGTCCCCACCCACCTTCCAGCCTGGGGACACCCCGAGGGGACTCAGCCCCATCCCAGCACCCACCCTTGATGTAGCCCCGCTCGCGCAGGGACTGCAGCGTTGGCCGCCTCTGCAGGAACTTGCGGAGTTTGTTCCGGACTTTGCTGGAGTCGCTCTCGCTGGCACTGCCCATTGCCTGCCCGGCCGCTGGCGGGGACAGGATATAGGTCAGCATCATCCTGAGGGACTGGGGTGCTCCTGGCATGTCCCACCACCACGGGGAGCTGGGGACACCCTGGGGTGGCCACCCCCACCCTGCCCGGTGGCTGGTTTTGCCGGTGCCACCGTGGTGCCCGTCCCTGTGCCAGGATCCCTGAGCTCACCTGCCCTCTTCTCCTCGCTGCCCCCCAGCTTCTCCCGGGAGCCAAACTCAGCCCCGCTTTCGGCATCTTCCTCGCCAGGGAGGTCGGTGCCCTACGGAAGGGGCAGCGTCAGACCCCCGTGCCCGTCCCTGGGGTGGCAGGGAGGGGCTCCGCGGGCGCCCGCTCACCAGCCTGCCGATGCTGTCGGCGATCGCCTTCTGCCAGGCAGCGATGATCTGCTCCGAATCGTGCTGGATGAGGAACTCCGAGCCCTCTCGTGTCTTCAGCTGTGGGAGCGGCAGGCAGCGGTCAGGGCAGGGGTGTGGGGTTGCCCACATTTAGCCACAACCCTCCAGCTTTGGGGGCCAGGTTGTGGCTGAGAACGGCACCCAACTCATTACACTGATGACTGCTGCCATGTGCCATCGAGTGGGGTGGCTGGAAACCTTCCCTCCATGGAAAGCCCAAGAGGAAAAACCCTCCAAGAGCGGGGATGTCCCTTGGTGACCTGTCCATGCCCTTAGGAAAGTGACAGTGGCCGGCAGCACAGCACGTCCCCTTGCTCCCAGCCTGGGATGTCAGGGCATGTCCTCACCACCTCCACTGCTGGTGAGATGAACCAGGTGGGTGTTGGCATCGCCACCACCCCACAGACCATGCATGGACCTTGACAAGTGACCGTTGTCCCCCACTGTCACCCAGCTCACCTCCAGGACGTGCTTCTTGCTGGACTTGTCCTTGCCGGCCCAGGCAAGGGTGGCCCCGCGCAGCTCCACCGTGTGCTCGGGGGTGGTCAGAGTGCTGGGGTGCCGCTGTGGGAGCAAGGGGACAGGGTGGCACCTCTGGCACCCAGCCGGAGGTGATGGGGACATCGGGGCCCTGCTCTGCAGGGGGTTTGCAGGCTTTCCTCCTTCAGGAAGGCAGGAGTGGCCAATGTCCCCTGTGGGACACCTCCCCCCCATGGCACCGGGGTCTCTCTGCAGGACCAGGACATGGTCCTGCCGCTGTGGGGTGGGTGTTCTGGCCACCAGCTTGGGGACAGTTGGGCCCTACAGCTGCCATCACCTCGTGGGACACCCCCCGCCCTGCCTGGGGACCCCAGGAATCTTCAGCTTTAGGGTCCCTCTTGGTGAGAGCACCGTGCAGGAGCAGTGTGACTTGGGGAAAGGAGTCGGGGTGGCTGTCCCCAAGGAGGGGACAGTCCCTTGGGGTTTTCACAGGGAAGAGCAGCAGACTCACTTGCTCTCCCCATGCCCTGGGTTTCGGGGTGCTTTGGCCACGCTCCCCCTCCATCCAGCCCCTCTCTATGCCCGTTTGCCAGAAGGGCCCCCCCAGACAAAGCCCTGCACCCACATCCCAGCGGTGGAGCCAGCACCGCGTCCCCCGTCCCCCCCCGCCGAGGTCTGTCCCCTCTCCTTCCCCTGCTGCCCTCGCCACAGGGTGTTGCAAGACCCTCAGCAGCTTCTGCATCCGGGGGGGGG